AGAAAAGGAAGGGAAAATAATAATAATAATATACAAAGCAAATGATGCACAATGAAATTGCTCACCACCCACTGACTGATACCCAGCCTGTCACTGAGCAGTGATCGCTGCCCCCCGGCCAACTCCCCCCAGTTTCTATACTGGGCATGATGTCATATGGTATGACGTGTTCCTTTGGCCAGTTTGGGTCAGCTGGCCTGGCTGTGCCCCCTCCCAGCTTCTTGTGCACCAGGCAGAGCATGGGGAGCTGAAGACGTCCTTGACTAGTGTCAGCACTACTTAGCAACAGCTAGAACACCAGTGTGTTGTCAGCATCATTCTCATACTAAATCCAAAACACAGCACTATACCAGCTACTAGGAAGACAATTAACTCTATCCCAGCTGAAACCAGGACGTTCATTTTAAAAAAAATTCCTTTTGCATAATTCTGTATTGCATTACTTTAACCTCAAGATGTAACCGTACTTTTTTTTTTAAACAAGGGGATATAGCAAGGCTGTTCCTCTCTAATGAGAGTGCAGAAATGGATGACAAAGGCTTCTTGTATTTTGTTTAAGTGTACCAAATAATTGGGTCCCTCTGGAGTGAGATTGTTTGTTTTTCAGTAAGGTCATGAGAAATCCAACCTTGTAGGTTAAGAATAGCTTAAAAAAAAATCAATAATTTGTATGCTATTTAGATGTTTTTAAAACTTTACTCCAGCAAGTTCTTATGAATTCAAGAAGTGTATAGCCTGAGTTCTGCTGGAAGAAGTAATGTAGCACCCTATTTTATTGAGTACCATATGAGTAAGTACTTTTAGTTCCTAACTTACTATGCCCAGTTCTGGGCTGCCCAGTGCAAGAGGGATGTGGACATGCTGAAGCAAGTCCAGTGAAGGGCCATGAAGATGATTATGGGCTTGGAGCATCTGATGTGCAGGGAGAGATGGGGTTGTTCATCCTCTGAAAGAGACAGCAGTGTGCATCAATACCTGGTGGGGGAGGTAAAGAAGAAGTCAGACTCTTTCTGTGATGCACAGAGGGAGGACAAGAGGCAGCGGCCACAAATTGAAATATAGGAAATTCCATTTAACCGTAAGAAAACCTCTTTACTGTGAGGGTGGTCAAACATGGGAAAGGGTTGCCCGGTGTGGTGGTAGAGTCTCTCTCCTTGGAGATACTCAAAACCCAACTGGACGTGGCTCTGAGCAACCTGCTTTGAGCAAGGGAGTTGGACTACAGATGTGTAGAGGTCCATTCCAACGTTAGCTAATCTGTGATAATCTCAATGCTGTTTCACGTAGGTTTATGCTGGTGCTTTGTACGCTAATTAGTCACTTAATATAAGAACTAAGATAGACCTAGACATCACTGGTTTCTTTTAAGTGCCTTATCTGAATTTTCTCTGTTTATTCTGGCATATGCTAACTGCTAAGAAGTGTTACTGACCTGATGCTTATTTTATGATATTGCAAAGTACTTCTGTTGCTTTAAATGTCTTGTATGAAGGATGACTTTTTTTTTTTGAGTTTTTATGTTACTTTTCAATCCTGTAATGTTCTGTGATTTCTCCTTTTATAGTAACATAAAATCCTTTAAGCCCTTGCTAGGTGATGTTGGCTTTAAGTTTTCAACAAATTTTTCAGACGCATCAATTTTGTACCTGCTTACCCTATCTTTAGCTAGTGTGTTAGACTACATGTCCTTAGTCGTTAAATATAATAAGATATCACTTTGAACAAAAAAAAAAAATTGGAAGTGCTTTGAAATTTGCTGTGTTTTTCTAAAAATATCCTTTAAAATGTCTTAATATTTTTAAAGTTATATTTTCAACTATTCTAGCTGTTGCAGGCAAGACAATTTTTATCCTCTGAAGTGAAGGCTTTCCCATTGAATAGTAAATTCCTTCTTGTAATACTCTGTATTCTTCAGCTGCTCATGAAATCATACTGGCTGGGAGCCAAATGCTGTTCTAAGAGAAGTATGTCTAATTCTGTGGTGATGTGAACTAAGTCACTTGTGTGACTGTTTACTTGACTGTGACCTACCTCTTTGTTTGTGGTGTGATGAAACTGCATTGACTTTTCCTATGTTCTTAAAAAATTTGAGTGCTCTCAGGCAGAAATGATAAATATTTTTAAATGAAGTACATAGACATAAAATTAATTAAGGTTACTTTAGATTATGCGCAAGTTAGGCAGTAATCGTTACTGGGTAACTATTTTTAGGGCCTTTGCCATAATTGTACTGATGGTATGAGGGAGAAGGTGATACCTTACTGATGCTCAAATTTGCTGTTTTATCTTTCAGAGCTGTTGAGTCCCAGAGTGAGGGACAGTGTGCTCCAGTGGACTCCCTGTGGCGACGTTACAGTGAATTCGAGTTGTTGAGGAATTATTTGTCAGTTACCTATCCACATATTGTTGTTCCACCCCTGCCAGAAAAAAGGGTAAGGAAACTGAGGCTGCAGCTTGCTTTGTATTGTTTGTTATTTATTTTCTATTAATACTCTTCTGTTTAAATAGGCTGACTTTGTTTGGCATAAGCTATCAGCAGATAATATGGACCCAGATTTTGTGGAAAGAAGAAGAATCGGTTTGGAAAACTTCTTGTTACGTGTGGCTTCACATCCTGTTCTTTGCCAAGACAAAATCTTTTATTCATTTTTAACGCAGGTATAGTAAAGTGATGTGCTTTCTAAATACATTCTTTAGTGATTATTTATTTAGGATAATGTTCTTTTGCTCTTCCTCCCTCCCATTGACCCATAGCTTCTTCTGTGTCTAGAAGGAGGATAGACAACGTGGATAAACTTGAGGTGGAAAAGGCTTGTTCATCTAAAAGCTTCTTAACAGCCCGCTGCAGTTGTACAGTTGGCCTTCTAATGTACCTTATGAATTTTTTCCAGTCTAGTTTTAAGGCTCCTAAGAGAGAATTTCCACCTCTCTGGAACAGCATATTGGGAACTTAATGCATGTTGGTTGGGAAAGCTTCCCTAGGACTCAAGCTGAAATAGTTAGCATGCTATACTGCTGGCTGCAGAGACAGTACTGGCTTCCAATTCACTTTTTGGATATCCATGGTTTCTTTAGCTTTGCGGTTTGAATCATGATCCATTCATATGTGTCGTGGTCCAAAACCAGTACAATACGTTATCACAAAAGTTGTGATCCAGTTGTCAGCTAAAGCATTGCATTGTGCAGCTCTCAACTTTAGGAGATGTTGGATGTTTCTTTTTTCTGTGCTTTGATGAGAGATTCCCAAATAGTGGACTGAGCAGGTATGTTTACTGCAACACACTATAGTATGTAGATGAACCAGTGTATGGGAACTGAAAACAGTGGACGACCAACCACTACACGTGAGCAAGGTGACTGCATGTGCGCTGTAGACAGTTGTCACCTGTATGTTCTCTCTATGCTCTCTGCCTCAAGCTGCAAAGGTCCTTGGAGCTGCTGATAATCTAATAGGCAATAGATGGTAACTACCCTTCTTTCTAAAGAGCTGAGCTACTTCTTTGGACAAAGCTGTGTGGCTCCTGCCCCCAGTTGATAGAACGAGGTAATTGAGTAGTGAAGAGGAGAGAGGTTTTTTAGGGGAGGTTAGTATGTAAGCACAACATAATGACATGTTATTCCTAACCCAGATTCTTGAAAAGACATGGGGAGTGTAGCTGAGGCAGAACCCAGGCTTACTGGAGAAGCTCCTCTGGTATAGGGACTTGCAAAAGCTGTGGCACTCTTCAGTCACTCTAACGGAACGTTCTTTTCCTGTATTTTTAGGAAGGTGGATGGAAAGAAATGGTGAATGAGACTGGATTTCAGTTAAAGGTAATCACTGTAATTGTTTGTCTCATGACTGCTGTGACGCAGAAATACTCCAGCAAACGTGTTTTAGGCTATTTATGAAAGGCTGTTTGCTGTTAGAATGAGTTAAAGGCATTGTTTTATGTGTACTTGTAACAACAGCTGAAGTCTTACCTATTACATGCTAAGAACACCACTGTTTTTTGTAAAGTTCTCTAGCAGGCTTGTTAATACGTGCCTATGTTTGATGCTCAACCTTGTAATTCTGCTAGTAATGTAGAATTACGATCATTATAAGCTTTAAAAAACTAATGAACTTGAGCCCATAGCAGCGCTTTTGTATGTTGTTAGTTTAGTTTAGCATCATTTTAAACATGGGTGTCAGATTTAGCCTGGTAGGAGGTGCAAGGTGTCAAAAAAAACCCAAAACAACCCGCAAGCAAAGGGGTCTGAATTGTAGGACTTTCTACAAGGATAAGTTGCTGAAAAGGATGAGGACAGATGGATTTGGTGGCCCTTAACTGTTGTAACAGAATGTGTCTTGAGTAGTATTATCCCCATTGACCTCTGTGAGTTCGTGGCTGGGTAAACTGGTGGAAGACTTGCAGGAATAAATGATCAGAGGACGTGTGTCTGTACAGGACAAGAATTTGTGAGAAGCTGATAGATTGCTGGGCTGTGCCTAGAAAAGTTACTATATGGGGACCAATACTGAGCTTTTGTTTCATTGTAACGTGATCAACTCTCATGAAATCACAACTGAAAACTAGGTGGATTATGAAGAATTATTCTGAATAGTGAGAGCTAAAGAAAATCACTGTTGCTCTTATCCTCAATGTCCAAGGGGCTTTGGTACTGACACTTAATGTTAACTTGACAATAATTCTCTTCCATCATGGTAGAGCTTGCATATTGCTAGTATTCATAATGCAAAAAATGTAAAGCTCTCAAGCTGTGTTTTCCAAGTCAACACATCTTTATTTCAGCTTACACTCATAAGAGTTCAGAAAGCTTGTACTGGCAAGGTATGTTCAGGAGTGCACACAGTGGTGTGTGTATGAAAGAAAACTCATAGCAGCATGCTGAAAATATTTGCCTACCTGAAACCATGTTGTAGATTAAATGAGAGATGAGCAAGTCTGGTGTTCCTTCTAGATTTGATTGTGTGTGTAGTTTCCCTCTTACAGTTCCTTTTTCCTTAGGAAAGAAAAATAACTTTTTGCAAAAGCCTGAGAAAAGGCATCTTTCCTTTATTCAACATCTGAAGTATAAACCCCTCAAGATTGGAGGGTATTTAGCGCTATGCTGGAGGACAAACGTCTATTCACTACATGTCTTAGACTAGAATCAGACCACTGGTTTACATGCTGCTGCTGTCTCTGCTGCTGATGCATTAAAGCAGGATGTGTCTTTTGTCCCAAAGGGTTTGAACCAGACTAACTAAACTTTAAATTAGGCATTAATGCAGTGTAGCATGTTATAGTTGAATGTTGATGTTGGAGACTTTGTTTACTCTGCCAACTGTATCATTAAATCATGTCTTTCCTCCCTCCCACCCCCAGCACTTAATTTTATTCTTTAAGGGATTTGTCACTTGGGATTTTAACCCTTCCTTTAGGAAAGAGAAAATACCACCCTCTCCTTAGTTTACTTAAATGATTATAGCATCATAGTAGGAATTAACTGTCTGAAAACTCCTTGACTGTACCTCATTTGATGGGGAATTAATCTCTAAAATGCTTGTGCATGTTAGTCTTAAATCAAGTTTAAGACTGGACAGACAGTTTTTTAACAGCGTAGCTCTGTGTGGTGAAAATGCTCAGAAGTGGTGTGTGGGAGTTACTGTGCTGTTAATGGCACAAAGGAAGTAACCCTCCTAAGATGTTTGAGTACTGGCAGGATCTCGGTTCCTGCCTGACAGTGCCTGTGTACTTACTGAGCTCTTCCTTCAGAGCACTGCATGTGTCTGCAACAAAAGGCAGAAACTTGCCCGGTAACTGTAACGTAGGAAGTGTTTTTCAAGTGTAAACCTGTTGAATGTACATGCTGTCCCAACAAACTCAGACGGCTTTGGTGCCTGCTGTTTGAAAAGAAATAGAATATTTTGTGAAATAGCTACTTAGAGGGAAGGACTCTGATTTAAGGTGGTGTTCGTACTGTTAGAGAATGTGTGAGGATTACGCGTAGGTGCATCTGAACGACCTGAAATCTAAATGGCATGTGTAATTGCTTGTGGGGATAGAGCAGTGGAGGTCCAAGGCCATACAAGCCCATGGAGCACTCTGAATAAACAAAGCCTGGGCTGGGAGTTGGAGTTACTGCAGTGTTCTGTGTTCCTTGTGCTATCTTGGACATGCCTCCCCATGCTGCCTTCGTCTTCCCTTTGCAAGATATTCTTAGAGGAGCACCACACATAGCGGTGACAATGAACCTGTTTTCTTACTGTATCAGTCACAGTCTTGCAGGTTTCATTCACTTGCATTTTGGTTTGTGGACTATGTTTTGTATTGGTTGTTCAGTGGGTGGAAGGAGGACAGCTAAAGTTAGCAAGGTTTCCATCAGTACCTCTCATCCTAGTTTGAAGAAAGAAACTGATTTTCCCTCAACTTGGATTCTGTCCTGAGTGTTCTTCAGATATGGAGGTGGTTCTGGGTGAAAGGAACTTGCAGTGATACTCAAATATGGATATCCTCTGCTCAGCCCCAATGCAGTGGGAGGTGGAACAAGCTCAAACTGCACCTGCCTCATTTGTAGAAGTTACTGACAGGGCCCTGAAGGAAGGGCTTCATTCTTAGTTTGGGAAAACACTGTGTTCCTTTCACTGTCAAATTCAAAATAGCTCTTCAAGCTCCAAGTTGGCTGTAACTGCACAAAATATTCCTGTGTTATATACCAGCACTAAGAAGTACTGCTGAAGTAACTCACTGCTAGCAGTTGTGGCACAATCCATTAGCCAAGACTACACTATAGGAAATCTGTACACCTCACAAGATGTGTTATTTATTATCCTTTCAGTGAAAAGTGGGATGTTTTGATCAAAAGTAGACTCCAGCCATTTTACCCGAGTTGGAGTTTTCGCGCGGTATAGATGAGCCCTGAGTGAACTGTATGTAAAATGCCGTATAGAAATGAAAAGTTGTGGTGATGTGGGATGTCTTTGGATGAGGCTGGGATATCTCATCTGTATTGGTATCTCATCTGTGTTGGTGTCTCATTAAGAGTAGATTGCATAGTTTAATGTTCAATTAAACTGAAAAAAAAAAAAAATCCAAAACCTTCCTTAGAAAGGCTCCATACTGCTGTTGCAGTAGTTGGTAAACCAACATCTCAAAAAGTAAAGTAGCCAATTACCTTTTTAATTAGGTATTGAACTTTCTTCTGTAGAGATTTATATATGCTCTATTATAGGAAAGAACACTGCATTAAAAAGGGCTCTATTCTGATATACAAATTACATATTTTCTGTGAAGCCCGTCATAAAATAAGAGAACTCCATATATAAGATTTTGATTTCACTGGGGAACTGTTCCTAGTAATAAAGAGCATATAGAGGTCACTCTACCACCGGTTTTATTTGGTTTGAAAAATATAAAATAGTTTGTCCATATGGTCTTATGTTACCTAATTGCTTCATCTAAAAAGAATGCAGGGTTATGTATCTTAACTCCATGATTTGTGTAACATTTTAAGAAGGGACTATTTTTGTGGGATTTGGATTATACCCGATTAATTTTAGTGGATACTGTTTACATCCTAGTTCACAAAAATAGTGTAGTTTTTTGACTTTTTAATAAAAAAAATCTGAGATGCAGGGCAGCTAGTGTCAACTTCTTCAATGTTTGAAGATTTAAATATGCCAGGAAGGCAGGATTTTTTTCTAATGGTGCTGCCAGAAGGCTGAGATTTTTTGTCACTGGAATTTAATTGCATTAAATTAACAAAGCTTTTTTTCCCCTTTTTTCAGGCAGATTCCAGATTAAAAGCTCTTAATGCAACATTCAGAGTGAAAAACCCAGACAAGTAAGATTCCACATCCTTCCTCCCTCCCTTTCTCTTTTTCAGTTACAACTGTAACTTCAGATGACAGAATATTCTATCTCCTTAGAATAAATTCAGAAAAGAAAAATTATCTTTCTGCACCTCAAATCTTAACAGAAGCCTAGTAAGGAGGTAGTGTGAAAAGGTTTGATAAATCTTGTTTCTAGGAGCAGGGAACATTCAGAAAAATGCCATCACTTTATGCAAAATGAGTCTTTCATTTTAGCTAGATTAAAAGGAAGGAATAAAAAAACCAGACCCAGAAAAAGAACCTCTTAATATTTGTTTGCAAAGAAATCTTTCCAAGCGTGAACGGAATACAGATTGATAGTAGGTCTTTCCAAAAATCTGCTAGTGTACAATTCTGGATGCACGCACCCTGGTGTTGCAGTTCATAGATCTCTTCAAGCTGCCAATTTTCACAGATGCTTTTGGAAGTCTGGAGGTCAGTTCAGCTCTGTTGCAGTTTAGGAAGCTCTGGGACAGGCACTAGAGCAATCTGATGGATCGAAAAACCGGTCAGAAGTGTAAGGGTGCATAGTGGGAGGTTCATCACACCCTAGGTGATGTGAGGAGGGTAAAATGAGAGTTTCTACTTCTGCAATAGTTAGAAACATTAGTCTGCAGCAGTAGGGTCAGGAGATGTTGCTGTTTGCCGTCTATAAGCAATGGAGACCTGCACAAAGTGCCCTTGTGGGTTCATCTGCTGTCCAGTAGTGGCAATAGGAGATGCTATTTAGGAAGAGCCCATGTGCCTGACTGCTTTCTGTTGTCTCTTCCCTTTTTACTTCCCTAGCATCGATGGGTATTGTATTAAGTACATTAGAGGGTACATACCTTTCTAAACCTCTTTATAGACTTATCTGTGAATTGGTGTGGTCCCTCATTTTATTGTTTGCTTTTGCAGCCTTTTGTGGCAGCAAGGAAGCTTTTAGCTAGGGTTTAATATAGAAGGTAACATTCGCGAATGAGATTGAAAGACAGCAATTCTCTCAGTTGCTATAGGTGAAATTTGCCCCTTGTTTGACTTCATCCTTCATCATCTTCATCTGTGGCTAGTAGGAGGTAGCTTTTGCTGCTTCCACAGCAGGGAAACTTTGCCAGTAGTCTGCCTATAGGCATGGCTGGGCAAGGCTGGTTAAGGCTGAGATGAAGAATTGTCCTGGTTTTGGCTGGGACAGAGTTAATTTTCTTCCTAGTAGCTGGCATAGTGCTGTGTTTTGAATTTAGTATGAGCATAATGTTGACAACACACTGATGTTTTAGTTGTTGCTAAGTAGTGCTGACACTAGTCAAGAACTCTTCAGCTTCCCATGCTCTGCCCGGTGCACAAGAAGCTGGGAGGGGGCACAGCCAGCTGACCCAACCTGGCCAAAGGGACATTCCATACCATATGGCATCATGCCCAGTGTAGAAACTGGGGGGAGTTGGCTGGGGCGGAGAGCTGCTGCTCAGGAACTGGCTGGGTATTGGTTAGCGGGTGGTGAGCAATTGCCTTCTGCATCACTTATTTTGGGTATTCTTTTCTTAAAATAATTTATTATTATCATTTTCCCTTCCTTTTCTGTCCTATTAAACTGTCTTTATCTCAACCCACGAATTTTACTTTTTTCTTTTTTTTTCTTTTTTGTTTCTTTCCCGATTCTCTCCCCCATCCTACTGCGGAGGCAGGGGAGTAAGCGAACAGCTGTGTGGTGCTTAGCTGCCTATGGGGTTAAACCACAACAGGAATATACTGTTATCTTTCAAGGTAACTTAATGTTTCAGAAAGCAGAGCTGTTGTGAGAAGTGGCTTGGTAAAAAGCAGGAAAAGAGTTAATACAAGGAAAACATGAGGAAGGGCTTGTACCAAAACCAGTCCCTGAGTATCTGTCTATCTCTCAAAAGAAACTTCACAGCACTTAAAAGATAGGGGACGTGCTTTTTATTGTATTCTGCCAGCTACATAGCTTCCAAATTGAACTTCTGGATACAAGTAGTTTAATAAATAACTGATGAGCATAACTTGTAATTTTTTTTAATTCAGGGAGAGCCTTTTAATGTAGCATGTATGGCCCTAACAGGAGTGTGAATAGTGCCTTGCTCTGCCTAGCACACTTAGCTTGAGCTGCCTGGAATCTGATGTCTTACCCCTCTGTGTTACCTTTTGGTGCTTGCGTGACTGGGTGGTAAAGTGGGTTCAGCAAGCTCACCTTGCCGAAACAAAGGATCTGACTGCTGTGTGGAGTGTATAGACTTTCAGGTTCCTGGACCAGGAAGGGTTCAGGTGAAGAATAGCTGCAACTCCCAGTCTGAATTGCCTCGCAGTGCAGTGGAGCTGCACCCTTCAGCGTGGAGCAACCTGAGGAGCTTTAAACAGCTGAACTGATGCTGCTCTAGGAGTTCAAATGTAGATTGGACAGTAAACCTCCTCCTGTGGGAGGCAATAGATATCTTTAATGATGGAATTATACAGTGATAAAAGTGTGGTATTCTGGTACTCAGAGGTAAATTTGTATCTACTGCAGACCTCTCTAGTTTGGCCTCATGGCACCCATCCTCTTGTTCCCTTTCTGTGCTTTAATCAAAACAATAGCTTGCTTCTTGGTGAAAGCTTTCTTTAGAAAACACTAAATCCTTTCCTAAGGCAGATTTTTTTTTCCCCCTTAAAAAAAGAATCAACAAAAAACCTCTCCTTTTTTTGTCTGGTTAGTTGGACAAGTGGCTTGTTCTTTAGTGAACAGTTCTGCTCTTGTAATAGCTTTGTTCACAAGACAGGAAAATGGTACTGCCCTCCCTGATGTAGGGAAGAGTACTGCCACATAAAATGCACAAAATTAACAACTTATATTGAAATGCTGCCTACTGTAAGTGAAATTTTCTTCTTTGCCATTACCATAAAAGATGTTTTTGAGAAGAAGCCTGGTGGTGCCCCTACAGAAATGTGACCTGATCTGTTCTTCATTTGTGTTTGAAGTTCTACTTAATAGCTCAATTAAATATCTTGAGTGTTGGTAATGTTGCAGAACCAGTAAAACCAAGGGAAAAGCGCTAGGCTTGCTTCAGTTAATGAGTGCCAAAACAGTGCCTTGTTTCAGGCTTCTACTGTTATGATGCGCTGGAAAGTAAAAATCCCTTTGTGTCCCTTGCCAAACTCAGTTTGGAAATTACTGTATCATAATGTAATATTTTTACATGAGCAATGAGTAGGACTTAAGCAAATACTCGAAAGATAAACCTTTGATCTGTAACACCACCAGTCGCTTAAAAACAGTTTTTCCTGAAAACTAATATTTGTAAAATTTTCAACCTTCACAGAAGATTGGGCAAAAAATAGCATCGCTTTGGTTTATGCTTTTCTGAGACAATAGAAAGAAGGCAGTTTGGTTCTGAAGTGGTGATTTTTTTTTTATTTATTGTTTTTTAATGGAGGAGGAATTGGCATGGGACAAGATGTGTGGCTGCTGGAGTCCAGGATACTGAAAGTTCTCTCAGGTTCCTGACT